CCGTACAGGGTGACCACCGCGGCCCCGCCGAGGCCCAGGTTGTGCTGCAGCGCGACCTTTGCCCCCGGGACCTGCCTCCGCCCGGCCAGGCCGCGCAGCTGCCAGCAGAGCTCCGCGCACTGCGCCAGCCCTGAAAAATCGAGCACAGAGCGCGGAGGGTGAAGCCAAGTCATTAACACGCGACGGCAGTATTAGTCCGTAATTCCGTGTTGCTTCCCGAATAAGATACAAAGTGAATACACGCGATAGGATTTGAGAAACTTAATTGCTGACAGCTCGGATACCGAGATAGATGTTCTCCTGGGAGGTCCAAAATGAAGGCAAATCCCTTTTCCTTCTAACCCTGAATTTCATGCTGTTTACTTTCTGTCTCCCCCACGACCCTATCAGCTATTTCTTTTTCCCTTCCCTCCCTTGCCCCAGGCAACTGTGCAGGCCTTAGGGCAAGGCCGAGGAGGAACCCGCATTTTATGCACCAAATTACGAACTGCCAGTTTACGAAGATGAGCACTGAGTTTTATAATTCCAGTCACAGATGAGAATTAACAGGTTTCATTTACTTTCTCTGAGCCTCAAGGAGACAAATGTGTACCACGGCAAAAAGCTGCTCTGGAACGGTTTGGAAATTTGCCTTCGATGACCTCCGATTAGTACATAGCGAGCCTCGAAAGGGTTCTGTAGTGAAATTAAGCGGACAGTCTGTGGATGTGTGTTTGATGACTCTTCCCCCCATCCCACAGCAATAGGGTCAAGAACACCAGTAATTGCCTCCACATTTATCACTGCGTAACTGACAAAAATTTAACACTAATTCAGCAATGGAGTACTCGTCCTATTACAGCTACCCACGGTCTTATTTACCTGGAATGTTTTTCTTCCAGTTTCCTAACACCTCCACCCCTGCACTAATTGCAGATTATCTAGCTCTTACAGCTGTTTAGGTTACGGTTTGTTGCTTTACAAGGCCTCCTCCTCTCCATTTTTCTGACAAATTCTCATTTCCAAACAAGAAAAGTGAATTACCTTCACAAATCCAAACACATATTATACAAGATCCATCTCATTTGGAAGCAAGTGTAACAGTTTAAAGGAAAAAAAAAAAAGGAAAACCTACGTTGCTGGGAAACAGTGACTGAGCTTCTGTGGTAAACATGAGATAAATATTTTGACATCCAAGGCTTACCAGAAATAGCTTTTATGACCGCTAACAAAAGTACAGGCTATTCAGATGCAGTAGAAATCTCCAAAATCTGAATTTTAAACTCTGAGAACATATGAAAATAGTTACTCAAACTACAGTCAGCAATTGGGCAATTCCTCAGAAAAAAAGTTAAGCTGTTTGACAGGCTGCTTTAATAATAACAAGGGGGGAAAAAAAGCCAGCGTGTAATTAAGTAAATGCTAGTGATGAAATTTACACTCCGAGGCTTTTGGTTGGAGCAATCCGACATGGTCACCCTGCCCTAATGCTTGCATTAATTGACATGAGAATCGAACTCCAGAGCCTCCTCCTAGTCTTATGAAGCCCTCAGGTTTCATACAAGTGGGAAGCATCTGCCTACTCAAGAACTGTATCTTCTATCTACCTGGAATGACTAAATTAAATGTTTTTGCATACCTGTAGCACCAAGTGGATGTCCCTTTGCAATCAAGCCACCACTAGGATTAATCACCCATTTTCCTCCGTAAGTATTGTCTCCTCTATCAATCAGGTCACATGCTTTTCCTATAAAACAGTATTTATAAAAGAAACATTCTTTTTTTAAGTGACTTTTCAAGTCTACTGTCACCAGTATCAGTCAACAGATTTAAAAAAGAGCAGACAGAAATTAGCCAAACTACATTAATGAGACTTGCTTATACCACTGGAGAAACAATAACATGGAAAAGAAGGGCTGGTGTTGGGTACAAAAGCTTTTCTAAATTTGCTGTTGAAATGTTTTGTTGATATAACACCATTATGATATAACCATGATAATGAAGCTGTTACTTTATTAATGAAACCACAGTGATAACTATGTTCATTGTAGAAGAGGGCTTAATTGTAATTGGTGACCCCCAAAGACATGAAGGTCCCAGTGAACACACCATGCTGAACAGGAGCCCTTGCCGCAAAGAAGCCTGATGGTATCCTGGGTTGCATTAAGACATTAACATAGTCAATAAACTACCCCTAAGGTTAATGCTTAGAATAGCTTAGCTTTCCAGCTCCCATGCCTTCAGCAGACATCTCTCCTCTCAGTCCTCTGCTCCTCTGTTCTTCCACCAGTTTCTTGAGCCTATGTTATTAACAATGAAGTCTAAAAAAGATCTGCCATATTTCCTGCATTTCTAACTTACTTCTGCCCGGTAGAATACCAAGTTAGTCTGGCACATCTAAATCCATAATGTGGTTTATTCCATTTCATTAATCTCTACGTCTAATTACTCTACCACTCCAAGATTAAGTTTCACATACTATTAAGGCCAGAGGGACTGAAAGGTGGTGGGAACTGCACTACCAGTTACCATATACAAGACTTAGTGGTCAAATAGACAAGCACCATCAAGATTCTTCTATATCTGCAATTAAAGTGACAAAGCTAAAAAGCTTCATGTACCTATTTAAATAATCTTACCAATTTTAGTGCAGATACCATAACAACACAGCAAAGACGACAACAAAAAGCAAGTGTTTGAAGGCAAATATTTGAAGACCTACAAACGTATTCAATCTTCCTGAATATCTATGAACTTCTGTTTCTGTGAGAAAGCTTAAGACTTAATACAATGCACCATCTAGTGATAGAGTATGATATTTTCTCAAAATCAGGTAAAAACAAATTATAAAAAGATTACATCAGGGGATTATTTACACAAAGCAAGAATATGTTTTGAGTTTAAATGCATCAAATACTGAAGTAGCAGTTCAATGCATTATTTATTTGAAATCAAACACAAACCTCTTCAGTAAAAAATGTTAATAGCTTGATGTACATATATAGAACTAAACTCCACTGTCACTTAACCTGTTGTAAATCCACTCCAATTAAATTAAAATAATCTGTACAAACTGTGCATTGTTTCACAGCTGACTTTAGAGGCATGTTCACAATTTGCCAATAACTCTGTATTTCTAAAGGCAAAGATATTTCAAAATTTTTTTTTTATAATTGTATCAAAGGTAAGTAACTCGGCAAGGCCCTCTACAGGCAATCCTTGTCAGATTTTTATCTTCTTAAAAGGAAATACAACCTCTTACAAGTTTAGCTAGTAAGACTTTCAAATACAGAAGATCAATCCAGTACACAACTCAAAGTTCTAAGTGTATGAAGAGATAAAAAGGTATTTTTAATGCTTTCCATTTTAATGAAACAATCACCTGTTAATGTTATTACCTTCTGGACAGAGTCCCAGAGCTTCGTAGGTAATGAGCTCATTAACTGAGAAACAGTCATGAAGTTCAATCACATCAACATCTGTAGGTTTTAGGCCCGCTTTTTCATAACATTTTTCTGCAGCTTTTTTAGTCATATCATAGCCAACCTGCCACAAAAAGAAACAGTATGTTAAAATGTTGTTAAAGAAACATAGCTAGCAACTTCATTTCTACATTTAACTTCAAATGTGTTTCTACATATCCTGTAAGTGAAAGTAACCTGTATGAGATAGTATTCTAATTTATTTTAATGTATCACATATTACAAAGTTTAATATTTATATATGAAATGTAGAGAAAAAAATAATACATTCTAAGTCTCATTATTGGCATGTGCAAACTTTTCTAGGGAATACCTCTATTTTCTCAACCTTGCTGACATGCTAAACTGCTCCTTTGATTGACTTGGGCCAAAAGCCTTGGAAAAAATCCTCAAAACTGTAGCGCTACCTTTTTCTATTCACCCTCTGACTAGAATTGTGTTTGAAACCTAAACCGAACATCACTGCAGCAGAAACTATTGGGTGTTCTAACGGTGTGACTTACATCCAATTATTCCAGTCAGTTTCCAGTGGAATTTGAATTTTCCAATTCAGGTCTTTCCCTTCATTCTACTTAAGCAAGTAATCATGACTATACCCGATAGGTTACTTCAGCTTCAGTATTAAACATACATGAGTAAAATTGTTTTAAGTTTCATTACTCTTACCAACTGAAAAGTTAAATAAATATTTTTCTTGCTCTTCAAATTGTTTAAAAGTAGCCTTCAAATAATTTATTAAAAACTAGGTTTTTGATAGCCTGTTTATAAATTTCTTACTGTTATTCCACAATTGTACTCTTTGCTTACTCCACTTGTCCAAATGAAATTCCATTTACATTCACCACAAAGTATAATGTTTGCTTCCTGACGTGGAAGTGTCTACAGTATCATTAAGACTTCCAGTTATTAAAAAAAAAACCAGAAAAAAACCCCAAATGATGCTGAGGAGTATCAGAGAATACAGAATTGTAAACCTACCACCTTCATACAGCTGTTTTCTTCAAAGGTGCTTGGATAATCAGTAGTCATCACCTGGGCTAGAATTTCCACAGCTTGCGGCTGCAACTTGTGCTTTTTCACAAACTCCTCATTAGCCAAAATTGCAGCTGCAGCGCCATTTGATGTTGGACTTATTGAAAGAAAAATAATAATGCCATCTTTCTAAATTAGTAATGTCAGTCTTCCATAGAATTATCTTTTAATATAAACCCAAAACCAAAAAGGACAAACAAAAAAATCTTCTTTGGCTGATACCACTGAAACTATAAACTCCATCGTACTTACTGGACAGTAATATTTATGACATTTGAAAAACATGACATCAAAACAGAAATGTATCATTAAGTTTTTCAACTTAGTAAAAATCAAAGCTTCTTCTTGGCTATAAACACTGTTAATAACCACTCTTTCAGGAGTGTGTAGGAAAGACTGAAGAGAACTAACACTTAAGAGCCATGGATCCACACCGGCACCAGATACAGAATGACAGGAGAGCCCCAAAGCACAAAACGTTTTTCAGCTTACTGTATCATCCTGTGAACAAGTATGTAGATCATGTTTGGTCAAAGAAGACATTCCACATTTATTTATAAAAAGTTTTACTTAAAATAATCTGTAAATTTTTATTTACATTGAGATAGACTTTTATTTAAATAGATGTCCTACCATGTTTGTCTTAATATCAAGATTTATTTCACAATACAAAGTCCTCTCCTTACCAACACTGTAAGACCGTCAAGAAATCAACAATTTTACGAGAATGCAGAATTTCATCTAATGTGTACTCCTTTTGGAACTGGGAATACCTAAGAAAAACATACAGATGCCACCTTAGTTTTAGCATGGCCTTTAGCAGCAGACATACTAATACCACACTATTTGGCAGCTAGAGAGCAGTTTTTACAAAGTATAAGGCACTGGATATAGAGTTTACGCTGGGTATAATTCTCATTCTGTAGTAAAGAATATATTCTTCAAAGTATTTCTAAAAATAATACACAGTTTTTCATGAATTTTTTAACAGCACTGTATGTTCAACATAAGAGTACGTTACTCACGGGTTGTTAGTTGAATGGCTATGATTCTTCCATGCAATTTTTGCAAAGTATTCTGGCTTTGTCCCTGGAAGGGTAAAGCAAGCTGGGTTGAAATACATTGTTTAGCCAAACAGTCCTAATAGAGCATTTTAAATATTGTATCATAAGAATTTGACCTTAGCAAGCATCTGTATAAGATGCTCATTGTTATCACAACTTTCCTTAGAACTCAACTTAGGTCTAAAAATTAGACAAAGACTACTAAACATGGTTGAGTTCTAGCTAACAGAACGTCCTATTTGGATTAATTAACAGTTACTAACAAAAAATACAGAAAGTGCATTTTATTATCAAGTAACCGAGACCTGATTGCTCATTTTCCTACCAGTGCAAAACAGCTGCAGTGAAATGTTGGAGTCTAAGTCTAAAATTTTCCCATATATTACTCAAAAACAAAGTGCAAATGAAAGGTGCTCAGCAGGCGAGCCTGTTACCCTGGAGCCAATTCCCTCATCTGGTGAGGAGGTAAGAAAGGGCAGTGGAAGCCACATCTGGAATATTGTGTCCAGTTCTGGGCCCTGTGGTTCAAGGAGGACAGGGAACTGCTTGAGAGTCCAGCGCAGAGCCACAAAGATGATGGAGTGGAACATCTTCCTTATGAGGAAAGGCTGAAGGATCTGGGTCTCTTTAGGTTTGAGAACAGGAGACTGAGGGGTGAGTTCACTAATGTTTATAAAGATGTAAAGGGTGAGTCAGGAGAATGGAGCCAGGCTCCTCTCAGTGATGTCCAGTGATAGGACAAGGGGCAATGGGTGCAAGCTGGAACATAAGCAGGTACATGTAAATATTAGAAAAAAACTTTTTCTCTGCAAGGGTGACAGAGCACTGGCACAGGCTGCCCATGGAGGTTGTGAAGTCTCCTTATCTAGAGCCATTCAAAACCTGCCTGGACGCGTTCCTGTGTGACCAACTCTAGGTGATCCTGCTGTGGCAGGGGGGTTGGATTAGATGATCTTCCAGCTCCCTCCCAGCCTTAGGTCCCTTCTAGCCTCTAACATTCTGTGAACTCTGAAGTACTATATATCAATCCAAATATTGGAAAGCTTTTCTCAAACAAGCCTATCTAGCCATTCTAAAACACAAGGCAAAAACAGCAGGAAGTTATGCAGCCTTCTCATCCGGACCTTACAGAAGCACAAACTGTACCAACCAGCCACTGTATCACAGCCTTAATTTTGAATCCTGATGGTTTTGTTTGCCTATGTCATCACTAACCTTGCTACAGATAACTCTTCATCCAAATGTATTCCTGTACGTGTTAGCAGCAGATGTTGAAGTTGTAGTACTTGGGTAGAAAAAAGGGCACTGAATGCTATCCTTTTTTAAAAATGAAATCCTAATACATACTTTTAACTCACTTCATTAAAAGAGGACCAGGAGAAAACGTATTTTAACATACCGTATTTTTCCATATGTTCTTTGCCAGCATTTGCAAACATCTGAGGTGCTAATGGAGCACTTCCTAAGCCGTACTTATTTATCATAATTCCCACATGTTTGTCAATTGGATTAGTTCTGTCTGTAGACTAAACCCAAGAGAAACAGTTATAAAGCAAATCATAATTTTCTTTAAAAAGTCCACACAAAAGTGCCACAGATTTCAAGCAAAATACATGTTGTTCTGGTGCTTTAACAATTCCACTGGACAGTCTGTTGCACTTCAGTGACATGTTTTGAAGCACTCATAATTTCCCAACTATAAAAAAGAGTAAATAAGCAGAAAATGCTTAACATTATAATCATTGCACTGATTAAAGGCAAGGACAACAATGTGATTTCTATCACAGACACTATTTTCAGCAGAGGATTTAATGTATTTTTCGCATCAGCTCAAAATTCTGTAGTTCCAAAATATAAATATATTAAAAATAAATATATTATTA